GATCATGGGTGATAGCGTTGACAACCTTGTCTTACTCTCCACCCTGTCCTCATTACAAAGGCGTCACTGATCTGCTTAGCATAGTGAATCACTTGACATGTGGCGTCGTCACATAGCTGTTGAATGAGGTTGATAAATGTTTGTGGTAGTAAAAGCGTAGTGTTGAAGCAGCTGCCTGCTAAATTATTTCTCTGTTGACGTTGTTGAATGCCTTTTCAATTTCGATGAAGTTGATGTGATGTAGAGAGTTGACTGGCATTCTATACTGTGTTCTACTATGATGTGTGGCGTAGTGTTGCAATTTTATTTGCACATGATTTGTTCTTCCTAAAGACAACCAGCCAGTCTGCCAGCCAGCCAGTGAGCCAGCCAGTCTGTTCTGGTCGTAATACAGTTGAATCGAGAGCATTATTTAGTGTCGTCAGGATAATGTGGCCTAATATTTTGCTTTGGGTGGACAGGGATGTAGCCTGATTCCACACCAGTTCTTGCAAAGTCTTATAGGTATACGAGTGATTTATGCAAACTCAAATCCACGTTTAGTTTTTCTACACACCCAGGAATATTTTTTTCCTTCTGAATCATTAGAAAGTTTTACTCCTGTTAAAAAGAAATCAGTGGACCGAAGTGGTTTTATTGCTGACAACTTATAGCCAACCCTTCATTGGGTAATGCTGTAAGTTGCAAATAATCGCCTTATGCATCTATCAACAAAACTGGATATAAGTGTTTTGTATCACGAATGCGAAAATCCAAAAAAAGGAAATGTTCACAAACTCAATAGACTTAAAACGATTTTTCTCATTTCAAAGTGTACACAATAGTGAAGTGAGGTATATCTGGATGCTATCGAATTTGGTGAACTGTAGTTTTGCACCCACCTGATTAAGTGGGTGTCTGGTCCAAGTGAACTACTGCTCCGATACATATTTAATTTTTGCATGAAAAATGCAGGTAATTCTTCAAAATCTTAACAGGTTGCCACTTATTTAAGTTGTTGACATGGAAAAGTATATTCATTGTTGCTGAAGTAAAAAGTCTTATATTCAGCTCAAATATTTGAAATTGTCTGTAAATTCTACATTCGCAAAAGAGTTGATGGTCAGTTTGTGTTGCACTATTGCATGCTTTCTGCGTTTCACTGGTAAATTTCTCTTTTCATATTTCACAATTCCTTCCCACATCAGACGATAATCTTGCATTTGCCAGTGACATTATTCGGTGTGTTAAAATGGCAAGTAGACAACAATAAATAATTTCGCAGTTAACTGGAAATCGCAACCAACCAGTGATTCTGTATATTGTGTCACCAAATAGGCCATATAATTACAGCAGCCATTTGATGAACACTCACTAACTACAAACCGGTGTCATTAATGCAGACACAACCGTTGACCAACCGTCTAGTGTCTTCATCAAAAATACAATCACATGTCAACGTCAGTTAAATATAGTTGCATGGAGCACCTGAAATTCTTTACTCAAGGTTTATTCGGCCAGGTAGATAAATGATTTCTAGCATATTGCGACAGAACTCATTATGTCCCAAACAAATTCCTCTTACAGGTTTTAATACTTTCTTTTACTACTCGTAACCATATTTACATTTCATTAGTTTGTACGCCATGCACTCAAGATACCATATATATCACAACGCTCCATGCATACACTTAAACTGGTAATACTTTATATCGTTATCAGCCATGTGATTTCAATTACTGAAATTAAATCAGCATGGCGTTCGATAAGTAAAGCCCAACACACCATTCAGAGGCTTCATCGTTCCAAGGCAGTTGTGAGTATTCGACATAACAATCCAGAGAAGTCTCAGACCAGGATGAAACAGCAGTTTGTGACTCTACGTTTTCGATGTCCCCTTAGCCGATGTGACTATGTGATGAAGACCACCTCGAAATATTGACGAAATCAGTAGCACACTTCACACACACCAATCAGGCCCCCTAGCATCAAAACTCGATAATACAGTCACTTTTACTCAACACAAACACTCAGCTTCTACCCGATATCAGATATGGCTTAGTAACAAATGCTGATAAGCATGCAGCCTAAACAAGCAGTCAACAGTACTTCTCGTAGTATCGCACTATGCAAAATGATTGAGCTGTGAATCAACTCCTTCTGAACTTGACTTAACAGGTTGAAGGCTTTTCCATAAAACTTCCCATCTGTTGTCGTTCACGTACTCATTACAAAATCTACAAATCAAACTATTTTTGAACCACAATTATCACCTGCATTCTGATCTCAGGATAAAACCCACTTTCACCACAAATAACTTGTCAATATCACTAAATTGAAAGACGTTGCTTCATACACTAGTAGCTCATTTCAGTGAGACAAGGGTTTGTGAGTGTAATCTTCAAATTGAACAGGGGCGGGATTCGGGACAAACATTCGCGAAAGGTAATCATGTAAGAAAGCTGCTCGGTGTCGAAAACTGTTTGGAATGGGACTCTGTTATTCATCAGATTTCTACGAGTGGTTTTGTTTGAACACGCTCATCATGATGCCTATAGCTTTCATATGCATTGTGTGAAAGTGATGAGAATTCTTGGTTGTGAGTTGTTTCAGATTAGGACGTAGATTGTCCACAGCTATTTGATTTTCACCAGTTATTCGGTTGATCTCACCCTTCTGGCAACTTTAAAAGTCACCATTTATCATTGTTGAGGCGAGTCTTTGTTGTCACTGGCAGACTCATTGTTAGTGAGTGACCCAGTCATGACAAAAGCATGCAAACTGTATCAAATCCACTTCACAAATCGGACAAAAACCAGTGAACACATTCAGTAATTATCACGTTATTAGCACAACACGATGTAGGCTGAGATAGGATGGAAAATCATATGAAGTGAATTTGTAAATAATGACTTGTTAAGAAATGAATGTGATCGACATAACTGAAACATTTAACCAAACACCTACATTCAGTTCATTTTTGAGCCAGTTTCTCTAGTTTATTATAGGTTGTTTGCATTTCTGTACACGTTGATACCGACAAGTGAAAATATGTCACCACTATTATATTTTTTACTTAGTTATATGAGATTTCACATTTTTATTAACTTATATTTTCTCACCCAGTCATACCTGAATATAAAACAATGTCTAGAATTGTTACCTTTCTGACTCTCGTTCTAAGAGTTTCGTTCCAGTAATCGAAATGTTTGTTCGTACTACAGACAAAGCGTTGGATCTCGCAAAAGTGGATTGGAGTGGAGTGGTGAGGAGGATGCACGGGAAATGAACGCTCTACTGAACTAGCGTTTCACTGCTTTTGTGGATTGGGAGTATGTGGTGATGATTAACCCCAGTTGCAAGTTAGAGATCCCGATCAGTGTACAAGACAGTTTGATATATGGAAATGGAGTCGCAATTCAGTGGACCTTTCCCCGGGACACATGTTGCACGATTACGTCGCAAATGGAAATGATTGTGGCTATTGTGATATGTAGCCAGATAAGATGGTGACTGACTTATTTACGTTCGCCTTGAATCAAGTAGGTTTCACAATGTGAGATATCCAGTTGTTGATATTTTGGCGTCCTCAAAAATTGGAGATATTGTATTGATTAATTGAACACTAGGTTATAGGTCACAAGTGTCTCGTGTAGAGGAAATATCCTTATACTTAGGAACATGTGATGCGATACGGTTCAGTATTCAGAAGAGTCCTAACATGTTTTATGCAACAAACAATTGTCATTGGAAAGTATTAATTAAGCACTGGCATTCACTAAGCAGCATGCTCACAGTATTTCTGATTTTGGTTGTTGAAGGGACTAGAAAAAGTTCATGAGAGTAGGATTCCCGGCAGCCTACCATGTGAAAGTTTGTATGTGATGATCTGTATATAGACGATCAAATGTGATTTGTTCTCAACTTTGCCAGCAGAGCATAAATGCTGAGAAGTGAGGCAATGAATATCCAAAGATGCCCTGACAATAAACGATCGAATGAATGACTCTGAAGATTACCAGAGGAAAACAGATTGTGAAGCGCCACTCTTTGGTTTGTTTTGCTGTGCTACTGATCGCCGAAAATATGTGAGTGGGTTATTTACTGTAGCTGTTTCCTGCATTGAATAGTCTTATTTAAAATATGTGATCGTTGCAATGCATCAGTGAGTAGGAAGTGTCCTGCATGCGAATAATAGAATAACTTGTTCAGATTATCGGGAAAGTAGTTACAGTATTCGTTTGAGCACAAGCAGTTAATGGTCCCTCATTCGCTTATGCTTTAAGCTAAACATCAACCTTCACAACATTTACTGAATATGTACAAATGAAGTAATACTACTCACTATATTAAAATCACTTTCCTCTTGCTGAATTTATATCAGCACCGCAAATGAACGGTCAGTTGCAGGGAAACTTCGAAGATCTGTTCATGAAAGTAATGAGTCAGTTGACGAAATGTTTATGAGATAACGGACATTAGCATCGATGATTTCATTGCAACCTTGAAAATAAAGAGCCCAAATTACAGGATACAAACTTGTCATTAATTTCTACTGAATAATAAATCCAAAAATAGGAGCTCATGCACACCATCGTGATTTACTTTTCAAGCAACCAAGCACACACAACACATCTCTCAAACGATTCACATGCGACACGTGTTCAACTGCTAACCCTCAAACCATTAGTCGTTTCTGTTATTGCCACTGCAAATGAAGCATCAACAGTCATGAAAAAATAGCTGACCGTGAGCAGAAACAACACGTTGGATATTTCAGTGTGCAGACTAAACAGGCTCCTTCACACAAACTACACAATAAATCTGATCTCATTGAACACAACGAATCCAAGACTATCCCTCATTTGGAAATCACAACCAGCCGATGATTCTGCATGACGTGCCCCTAAATAAGTCATCTAATCACAACAGTCATTCACTGAACCCTCATAATGATCACTGCCTACGAAAAACTGTCTTTATCATAAACACTACTGAGTCTTCATCAAAATAACGATACTCATATAATGAAGTCAGATGTATTTGGGAAACAAGTGAAAGCATGCATCAAAAGTGAAGGCAGGATTGGAGTGATTGTCAAGTGAAATCGGTTTCACACTCAATCAGTCACTGAGTGTCAGCTTGTCGAACAAATATTCGCCAAGTCCACTTCCAACTCTCTTCGTCTGTGTCACGTAGTCGGCGAACTGTTTGATCGCCTCTTCTTGCTCATGTAGGAATTCACCCTCGATGAAGTCAGTTAGCGCTGGATCGTTGTACGCCGTAGCCACATCGTGCAGTTTCAGCAGCGACTGAGAAAAAGACAGAAAAGAACACGATAAGTCGGTCAGATAGATAAGCAAGTATATTCCAGTGGAATGCTCCTGCTGATTGTTTCACTAATGTGAACTTACGAATGCGAGACAGAGTGGAGTGTGTTGTGCACTTCATGCGTGGTGTCATGTGATGAGGCAGTTGGTAGTGTTGCCTTAATCAGTATGAGGCTGATATTCTGACGACGTTTGAATGAAGATAGGTCTTGTGGTGCAGGACGCGACGGGACTGGATGGGTACAGACTGGTGGTAAGGTAGTTGGTGGAGTGTTGTTATGACATACATCTGATCCTGTGTCATGTCAATACTAGTCATCTCCTCACCACTCATGAACGCCTCTCGTGATCATCTGGTTACTATAATTGGACTCTGTAGTTTGTGGAGTATCTGTAGAACTTGGTGGGTTTCAAATTCCATCTACATATGAGACAGGGTATGGTAATTTACCAACTAACTGGCTATTCCATAATAATCTCCTACACAATCTGATGAGTTCCATTCGCGTCAAGCATCCCGTTAGCGCAGTCAAGCATTTGCTTTCCTCAAGTGGACCATTCAACCGTCAGTTGGATGATGCTTTGACCTGGCCTGTCAGCTGAGTCGATAATATATTACCACTGCTCACAACGCCTAAGAATAACTCAGTGAATGAGCTCTGAAAGGCAAGGCGATGTGAACTTGATGGCTTTTGAAGAGATCTACTATTGGGAATTGAGTGACAACCTGTCTGATGAGGTATTTGGTTGTGGTTACTGTTAAGCTGTGAATATCTAATCTATGGGGGTTCAAGAATAAAATTAGCGTGTGTTTGTCGAGGTGTGTAACCGATTGACTAAGTTACTTGTCAAATCACTCTAGAAACAGTCGAACAAATATGAATGACTACTAGACTCACCTCATTGACTGCCTTCTCCATCTCTAGAGCCGTATTCATCGCATCTTCCAGACCTGTGAATTCCGTCTTCGATGGACTCTTCACATCGCTGTAGACGACACGACCACCACGCTTGTTCAAGTATTTCGCCAATTTCTCAGCGTGTTCACGTTCCTCGTGTGATGACTTTCGGAAGAATTCAGCTGCCTTCGGAAATGCCACATCGTCTCTGTCGAAGTATGTGAAGAATGCCATGTAGTCATATGCAGCTTTCAGTTCCATGTTGATCTGTGCATTGATGGCGTCCTCACATTCCTTGGCGAAATTCTGTCTGGCTCGTGATCCACTCATGACTACTGATGTGTGTGTGTGTATGAGCTTTCGTGCAGATTAGTTGGTGTCGGTCTCTTTTATATTCTGTAGGATGAATGAGAGATTTGTGTTGATGAATTTCTCTCCACCCGAGTAACTGTAGTCTCCTCACTGATTCGAATCACTCTGATCCGAGCAGAGTTTGTAGGCTCCTTTTATCTCCATTTTTCAGATCAGATATGTTCATGTACAAAATATTTCACGTATACTGAAAACATGTGAAATGCACACATGATGTCGGGTGTCTGCATACGAAAGCTGTGACCAGCCACGTGTTTCCCTCAAAATTCGAACTGGCCTTGGTCTTCGAATGTGAATGTCTGGTTGTGTGTGTGCATGTGTGTTAAGTTGTGTTTGTGTTTGTGTATGTGCTTGTGTGTTGTGTTGTAATTAGAATAGTGGAGATGGTGTTTTTGTTTCAGTATAGACTGTACATTGTTTCCACATATTTTCATAATTCAGTGTAATTGTTTTCTATTGGCCTGTGTCTCATGACCAATATACTGTTTGTATTATTTTGATGTGAATATGTGGGACGTTTGAGTTTGATTGTCTGAAACGTATTGGTGTCTCAATGGATGGTAATCCACCATGAATTATTGGGTAATTTTCAATACTTTTTGAAGGTTTTGATCATTATATTTTCTATTTTCTTCATTGTGTAGTAATTGTTCCATTGTATTAGGCGTTGGTGATCAGAATGGATTTAAGTAGTATATGTTTAGAGGTTGGCAGAATTCATAGGGAATTACCTGCAATGGGTAAGGATTCCGCCAAGAGAAACGCAAGAGACAAGGCAGGCTTCCTTCACTATTTACGTTTTAGTTATGTTTCCGCATTCCGGAGGCTGAATTCTAGATACTCATTATTTCAAACACTATACATTTTCCTCGTCACAACTTTTTTATTTTGAATTACAACTTCATGCTTGTATTTATATTTATTCGGTGCGCTGAGTATATTTATGACAGGTCAAGTTTTGTGGCATTTTATTTCAGTCTTTGATTCACGTTTTTGTTTTTATTCATGTCAAATTTATGATCAAACGAGTGAAATATCCCGTCTGTTATAGCATATTTTACACAAAATATGTAGAAAAGGTATTTGTGATCTGCAAATATGCTTATCATTTATCACGAGTTGGCAGTACTATGAAACATTGAAATATATATATATATATATATATATATGTATAGGGGTTACTTTCACCGACGGAATACGAGCTTTTATATCACCACAGCTTTCTTGATCTTTCTCTGGAAACACGTGATGATGGTACTATCAAGATGGTCTTCTAAATGAAAGATACGCAAACTCAGCAAATTTTGAAATACGACTGCTTTTATTTAGTGAAGTACAACCACAGTGTAGCCAGAATGCTGTTAATAGTCATCCAAATGGATTTCTCAAAAGTATTCAGTATACGCTTTGAGATAACGTAGCTATCGCAAAAGAAGCTTTTATTCAGTGCATACATACGTATATACATTAAATATTGCAGAAAACATTGACTTCAAAATCCACTGTTTTCTCTGAAAACGAAAGAGTTAAATTTCCATATGGCGTTCCTACACTTTCAATATGATACTGACCACTGTCTGTTACATACTTTGTGCACTTCTTCAGACTGCTTCCTAGAATAAATTGCTGGTGGTGATCTGCAACCTACACTCCTGGATTCCTAAAGGAAATGACGGTGATATGTAGCAGCTTCCTTTTAAAGAGATATCATACTTACTGCAGAATAAGTACTTTGTTAATACCGAAAAAGTCATAAGTTTTGAATAAAAGTGGTGGTGGAAATTAAAAATATGACAGAGGGGTAGATGTAAATAATCAATAAGTATCAGCTGTCATCTTTATTTTATCCTTTTGCATCTATTTTTACGAAAAAGCCTTTTTTGAAATGGAAATTCTGAAAGCCACTTTGGAGTACTGAACCCACAAGTACGAGAACTCGAGTGAAGAAGGTCATCCGGTACCTGGTAGATTGTATCAGGAAGAGCCTAAATCAATAAATTACATTCAGAAATTAATTGTTGATCTACCAGACAAGAGAAGTATGGTAGTAATTTCTAACAAAGTGTACTACAACGATAAAATGATAGCAGTTTCATGTAGTTTCTGTGAATGAAAAGAACTGAAGCAGGTCAACGTCATGACGTTTAAATTTAAAACGTAAATGGCTAATTCATTGAATACAACTAATATCTTTCAAGGTGTTTTGGGAGCTTAAGATACAGAGATAGTATTCTTAGACTAAACAGTCTACTAAAATCCTAAAGTCCCACCAGTTTTAGATATACGAAATAATAGTAATAATAATAATTCCCCGAAAATTAGTTCGTTAGATTTACTGCAGTTAACTTGACAAAAGCTAAATACATACTGTATAAAATGGTACGACTTTTCAGCATCGTATCAGTACTTACTAACGTGCCATTATTGAAAACGGTTGATTTCATATGTGAAGTGGTTAGTTATTATGAACTGCATACCGCTCGGTACCTTCAAACAACACTACGTAACAACTGTTCAACTCACCATCAAAAGTCACTGTGCAAAAATTTAGATTTAGTGAAGATTAGCTCCTTATTTGAAAGTATGCTGTGTAACCGTATTCATTTCGATACGTACTGACAGTTTGTTAACACTAATCTTGCTGTGTAGTATAAGCTGTAGTTTAAACCACTCAATCAGAAATTCTTTGAGGGTAAATTCATGAAATACTTCTTCACAAGGTTGAAAAATAAACTGGAATCCCCATCTTCGTCCCCTCAGTGCCAAACTGGATGAAGTAGTATGAGTCTGCAGTGGTACTGGGACATCCCTTTTAGTAAGACAAAATACACACTTCTACACTTTCGTTTACCTGTAGCAGAAAATATATGTGATTGCATAAGGTAAAGAATAAAGTGGGAAAGTGTCTTCGGATTGGCCAGCTGATAAGGAGCAAGAGAAAGTTACAAATGTGTTTGAGAAAATGAAGATTCGGAGAATCGTTATCGGAATATTGTAGGAAGAAACCGGAACAGATTGTGAGGAAAGCGTATTTTTTTCATCTCTAACCTAATCGTATTAACCTATTTGGGATTCTCAGAAGAAGACTCTTTTAATCTCTAAAAGGATTTCACTGTAAGCTACTCATGCAACCTTGACAACTTAATTTACCTTACAACCTCTTCTGGAAGTTAGCATTCCATGAATTTTTGCACAATTACATATTTATAAATTCAAATTTTCCTTTGTCTTGGACACATTATAAACGTCTGTATCAAGAAATAAAAATCGACATCTACCTGTTTGACTGATGCAAGAAACTTCAATATGCGCCTCTGGAATCAAGTTTAATCGACAATAATCATGCAGTGGGCATAAAGCTCAAATTTTCAGCAACTCACAAGGTACTTTACGATCTTCCACAGCTGATGTCATTGAAATAATGGGACGAGAAAACAGTGTGTAGAAGCAGCCAGAAGTTTTCCTGGTTCTTTCGTCACTGTCTATTAAATATGAAATCACCCGATTCAGTTTCAAACTAACGTAAGTTTAAGTCCTTGGTTTGTGTCTTTTTTTAGTAACCCCTCAGTCTTAGTATTTTATTTCCAACTTCCAACCGTGCTTATTATTCCCGAGTTGTTGTCATGTTTTTGAAATCTCAAAAATTAATTTCTTGTTCTAATTATTGCTAGGGATTTTCTAAATCTGTTATTACTTTTATCCATCAATTCTTTAAGCCTCTATACAATAATTTGTTAATCAGTTTTCAGTCACTAAGTTAATTAACCGTACATATCAGTGTCCGTTTCCTGGTTTTTATAACCATTTGATGTGTACAAATGTTTCAAGAGAAAAATTACTCAACTGAAATGCTAACTCAGACAGACTTCAACAAAAACGTGTATTCATTCAATGATTTTCTCTTCTCAATAACCTATTTAAACTTGAAATTCTGTCTTCAGAATACTGATTTCATAATCAGTTCGGGATAAGTAAAACTGAATGGTTTGTTGTCAGCTTCAAATTGGTGTAACGATATATTATAGATGAGATAGAAACAGCTTCACCTGCCCTGATTTTCTATGTTAAACGATTTATTCTGTTCATATTTGTGTACAAGCTCAGTGTTTGAATGGATTTAGTTTCAAAGCATTAGTTTTAAATTTTGTGTATCTGATTGGGTTACGTATATTTTAGCCTGGAAGATGAAATGCAGCGCGTTGCATATATGAAATTAACTTCACAAGCTTATATACGTTATGAAATGATATTAGAAAGAGTTGATGTTAGACACTTGTAGTTTCCCGTTGCTATACTCGGTCGGATAACTTGACTTCTGTTGGTAGATGGGTTTCTGTACATTCGTCAAGATATCACCAGATATTTTTGATGTTTTATTCATCTAGGTGACTAGCAGGGGAATCCAGGACGGGTGTTTTGTCCTATTTTGAAAGAATTATATGAAGAAATTAATTGCTCAGCCAGTTATCACTAGCTAGTATTCTTTCTAGATCTTATTTTCACTTGGATGAAACAGTTGGACCGTGAAAACAATTTCAAAACTAGGAAATGGCTTATTAAATGATTTGAAATCTTTGTAACTAATGCTACCTACAATTAGTGAGCAACAGAGTCTAATAGTTTCATATTATTTTTCACAACCCAACTTGATACACCTTGAGAAATCGTTTTATACTACTGATTGATGACAAGAACAGTTTATATATAGGTAGTACAAATAAATGGATTACAGTTAACATTTAGTTTGAAAACCTTTTACAATACATGCATGTTTCTGGATGTTAAATGTGGGAGTCAAAACATAACAAGGATTTGGGTACCTAGTTCTTTCATTATACTTTTGAATAAGTAGTTAGTTAGCATACGAATGCACTACGTTAAGGATCAATTCACAAATCCACTTTCTTTAAAACGTTTGGTCATCTAATCAAAAGATTCAAGATTGATGAAGACAGTGAACAAAGTGGTCTTTTGAAGATATAAGCAGAGGGATTGGAAAAACACTTTCAAATTGCTACAGATTAAAACGAAGCAGTTAATAAATGTAGTTAAGCATACGGTGCCTTTAAACATTAATGAACATTTTCTCAGTCTTCAGTACATTACTACTTGAACAAGTGATATTTCCAAGTTTAATACATTACATAAAAGATGCAGCTTCATCTTGGTGTTGTTGGAAGTGTTTCCAATCAGATTTTTAGGCTACAATTCAGGAAGCTAAAAGATTAGAATATTGGCTTAGACTTGTAATAAATTACAAGACTGAGACGCAGGACAGAATGTTTAACTTGATGTCTTGTACAGTAGTGATGAAATATTGTACACTTTCCATTCAAATAATCATTTACATGATGTGTTTCATTCCCTCTTCTGCTTCTATCTC